GGGGGGGCAGGCAGCCTAATGCATCCACAAAAATGCATCCACTTAGGTTTTAGTAAGCATGAAATACCATGGTCTAGTACAAAGGTGTGTGGGTACATGGGGGAACCATGACTTCTTCCTATCTTGTACACAAACAGACTGAGCAGCAGCTTCAGCCCTGACAGCTTAGGCTGCTAGAGCCCATGTAGCAGCACTGAAGTACATGATTTCCTCCCCTTCTTTTTGTAAAAATAGGTGGTTTATGCCTGTCTCAAGTACTGTTGTGCCTTGTGAATAAGGAAATAAGCAAATCTTTGCTTCTAAAGAGCTTAAATCAAAATTATGCATATGTTGTAACAAAAAATTGCTCCATGTTAAAGGAAGCAGCAAAAAGAGGCATGAATAGGAAGGGAGGAACAGAGGTCTTAAAATCCCCCCATACCACAGCATACATAGAACCCCAACACTGTCATCACAGTGCTACTTTATATATTGGTCTGCTACATTAAAAATAAATCAGGCTACCTCTTTTTAACTTGAGCCTGATCAGGTGCCCCATACATATATTTATCTATAGATCACAGCCCAGCCTTTGGAAACAACAGTTTCTCTGCTGCTTAAAAAGACTCCGGCACCTAAAACCGAAATACAGGCAGGGCCGCTTTGCTACCCCAGCGTGCTGTAAGCCAAAGCTGTAACTCAACGCTCAGCTTTGCTGATCAGATTCGCCCCACAACGCGACACCACACCACGAAAATGGCAACGGGGCCGCAGGCTGACAGGCAGCACCAAACATGGAGAAGGTGGCACCGGATCAGGGGGACAAACTTGGATGGCCAGGCTAGCAACCACTGTTTGCAAACACAACACAGGGGATCAGATGGGCCAGCAATAAATTAGGACTGGACTGCAGCGAGCAAGAGAAATCGCTCTAAGTAACAAACAGAAGCAAAGAGGGCTCCCCAGCTACCCCTGGTTTCATTTCGGTGCCTGAACCCAGGGGTGTGCATGTGCCAGCTCCTGGGCTGCCTGAAGCACGATGGAAAAAATGCTATCTGACAAGTGAAACTAAATAACAAGCACTTCCAGCACCACTCCTCTGGCTCGAAAGCTTAACCACAGCCTTCCTAAATGCTGCTTTATTGTATGCTCAATGCCATTAGAACCCAGTTTGAGCCCACCTCAAAGGAGGGGAGGGGAGTTAAAGTGATGGGGGGAGCTCCTCACTACACACTTCCCAGGTGAGGTCCACTCTGGCCCAGCCGATCAATACATCCAAAAACCAAAGGATTTGGGCTTCCTCTGTCTTGTAGCACGCTTCCAGATCTGCTGGCAGAACAGTTTGGGGAGGGGATTTCTGCTAAGCAGGTCGTTGAGGCAGATAGTAACACTTCTTAGTGGCTGAAAACCAAAAATTGCCCAAGCAATCCCACAAGCACTCAGTTAAACCCAGTGCAGCACCCAGTGTTGAAAGGCAGGAGAAGGGGCTGCCTGTCTACAGCTCTGTGTAGAGCTCATCTACAGAAGAGCCCATCTCAGCCAGGGCCTCTTACTTCAGGTACTGAAAAACTGCTAGTTTGAGGTCCACAGGAGCTTCTGTGTTTCTCTGAAAACACAGGAAAGATGCCTTCAGCATCCCACTTTCCTAATGATAGGAAGGCTTGCAGACTACAACCATATATCTGGTTGTAAGGGCTGTACAACAGAACGACTACTGTCAGAAACACAGGACTTCGGCAGTAACCTCACCCTTCAAAGCACCTCCTCTCCCTTTTTCACAGATGAAGGGCACCATCATGACCTGAAAGACTCAATAAAAGCATTACTGGGAACCTGCAGCAAGCGTCAAAGTAAACCCAGCATGACCATACACTTGCTGGGAGCAAGAAGAAAGTTCAGTGCAAATTTAAGCTTCCACAAGATACACCCACAGAGCAATATCTCACAGGACCCTTAGCTCCTGTAAAGCTCTGAAACTAAACAGAAGAAAGGGGATAAACTATCAGCCCAATCCATTTTCCTGCCACATTGTGCAGGTTAGAAGTAGGAAGCTGTACAGAAAAATTAAGTGAATTAAATACATACAGTATGAGCTAAGCAACAAATCCTTCCACAGTTTCTCAATGCCATAGCCAGTCTCTGCCAACCCTGCCTCTGAATGGCATAAATACCCAGGGGAAAGGAGATTCAATCTAGAGGGCAGCATTGTTATAAATAGGAGCTACAGAATCAAGTGAAGAAAGAGAAGTGTCCTTGGATGCTGCCTTAATTGGTGGGGCTCATTAAAACAAGAGCCTTTACAGGAAAACCATATACATATATAAGCATGCATACATGTAAACACAACACTTTCAGACCACTTTATAGACAAAGTATCTCCCTCTGTCCATTATTCTGACCCCACACCACCAAAACAAGGCTTGACAGCTCCTCAAGTTTTGCTGACTGGTCCATGACGCGATGCCTCAGACCAACTGGCCTCCCTCATCTCTCCTCCCTTCCTCTACTCTCCCACTGCCCATCTCCAGCACTTACGAGTTCAGTTTTATACAGACTAAAATAAGGCTGCTAAGTAAAGGTCAGTCTGATGAGCTAAAAGAGAAGTATACCCTCCTGGACCTCTGCCCCTTGGGCTATAAATACCCAGAGCAAGTACTGGGGGAAATTCTTTGTCTGCACAGACAGACACCAGGAAGCACATTTCCTCCTCCTTCCAGTTCCCACCCTCTCCACTACTCAAGGACAACAGTCAGAGAAAAGCAAGCATCTCCCTGCTATGTTCATGGAAGACATTTGCTTTGCCATCAGTGACTCAAGGCACACAGGCCTTCCTAGAAATAAACAAACGCTTTGGAAGTTCAACCATCGGCAAGGCCGATGGCAGAACACACGCACTGCAAAGCGAACCATGAGGTTACGCATGGGCAAAGAGGAGGATTACCTTTTAGGACTAGGGGTTCCTTGCCTTCTCGCTTGAGTGACTCCAGCACTATGTGGAGTGGCTGGGAAGGCATTACTCTGCTTGGCTCATTGGTATTCTCATCATAAACTATGATTTCTTTGGAAAAGATCCTCTTGAAGGAGTCCTTGCCTTCCCGGCAGGAGATCAAGTCCAAGACAGTGATCTTGCCCTGCTGGAGCCTTCTCCGGCTGATCTTGTCAGAACAGTTAATGTGGACAGCCCCTTGAATGTGGCTTTTATTATACTCCATGAATGGCCTGCAGTCAATGATGACAGGCCCTTGGTTCTGTTGGTGGCTCTTGCTGCATTTGGTCATCTTCTTTGCCAGATCGTTGGGGTAAATGATTTTGATGCTAGCGAGCTGCTTGGTGGTGCCCGAGACCGGGCTCCCCACTCCGCCCAGGGGGCTCAAGCTGCCGGCGTTCTCATTGCTGTTGACCATTTGGTTGGCAGGGCAGGTGGTGGAGGCTCCGGCGTTGGTGCTGCTGGTGCTCGCTTGAGCTTGGGCCTGAGTGTCCTTGTCGTACGTTGCCACAGTGCAGCAACTGGCACTGCTGCATCCACAACTCAGGGAGCGTGCAGAGCCGTTAGATGAGGGCATATACGTGAGATTAGCAGTCTTTAGGGACACGACAGCTGTGCCGAGCAGACTGCAGTGGCTCTCACCAGCAGAAGAGGCAGATTCAAGATAGCTAGAGTCTAAATCGAGGTTGAGATCCTGAGGTCTCACTGGCCTCGAAAGTGCCACTACTACCCTGTCGTCTAAAGGAGATGGAGGCATGAGGAGGCTGAGCGCTAGCAAGTTAAGAAGAACTCAAGATCACCCTGTAAAAGAAAAAAGGGAGGGGGAATGGGAAGAAGCAAGAGGTGATGAAAACAGGTCATGAAATCACATAAGCCCACAGATATGACAACTCACTTTGCTAACACCCATTACCCACAGGTAACAACCCCTTCTGACAGTTACCAGCTCACGGTAGTTGCTAAAGAACCTTTTGCAATCCTGCAGCAAGTACTTCAGCTATCTGCATGGGTGCACATGGCACACAGAATACACGCGACTAGCCCGGACTGTGCAGCTACACCCAGGAGGAGCCATTTGTCTACATGCAGATGGTGCTGAGCTATTCTGAAACCCTAGGCTGCAAGGCATGCAACTGATAATGACGGAGAGGCACGTTCTCTTGTTCCCGTTGCTTACTGCAAGGGAAGCAACTACTGGGCTGACTCTACTACTGGGAGGAACGCACAGGAGCCGAATGTGTCAGCAGCGATATGCAACTTTTCCAGCAAGCTGGAATAAAATTAGCTTGTGAGTAAATTCTCCGAGACAGTTACAAACTTGAACACATAAACCTAAACAAAAAACACCCAGGAGAAGACAGAAAAATCAGGTTCTGGAGATATTTACAAAAAGTAAGCGTGCGCCTTGCACTTCCACCCCCCCGTTAGAGAGGTTAATTCAGCCCCAGTTAAGCCCCCAGCTCCAGGCCCGGGAAGGCTGCTGTTCTCCAGCAGTCCCGGAGCAGTAGTTCCCTCCTCCCCAGCACGTTTCACAGCTTCTAGAAAGAGGGGTCCCCTCCACCCCAGCCAAGGTCACAGCCTGCCCAACCTTTGGCTTGCCATTTGCTAAGAGATAGCACGCAGGATTAGAAACTCTCCTCCTTCCACTCGGGAGGGAAGGAGAACAAAAGCAAAACAACTTAAGAAAGCCCAGACAGTGCCTCCCCTTCCCCAACAACTTTCAGAGGAGCTACGGCTCTCGCTGGAAAACACATCCTGGCAGCAACTTCACGAACTCCACCAAATCCCCCGAAACGGAGCGAGCGCTTGCAGCTCCGCTTCACCTCCCCAGCCAGCTTTGCACCGGCCCCGTTGGTAAGTAGCACTGAGATGCCCCATCCCGAATAGCGAGACCTCCTCCCGGGG